CTCTTGTTTTATTCCTGCAATTTAAGCATTATTTAGAGTCAATTTTTTCTGTTATGGCAACTATCTAACTAGGCTTATCCTAGTCACCAGATGCACAGCTGAGCTTAAAAGTTGGCTATTTCAACGCCACTCACGGACTTCTGTCACATTTTTCTCCCCCCCTTTATGAAGGGCTTTGCATTAAGCTTGATCCAACTTTGTTCACCCAACTTATATGCCTTGTTTAAATCAGTTTCTGAACTTTCTCCTTCAATTTCACTGCAGCTGTTACTTTGAAGCAAATCTACAAATTTCACCTACAGGAATTAGAACAATAATGGTCCTCGTGTTGAGCCTGGAGACATTCTCGTCAATATTTTTGTCACTGGCAGACTGTATAGCTTGTTTCATACATTTAGATAGCTTCTCGTCCGTCTGTATGACTTGTTCTGCAATAGCTTGCAAATAGACAGCAATATTACAGCCAACTGGGAAGTAACTAGTGGAATAACGGGTCACTGGGACTTGGTGTGAATTAAGATATGGGCAACAGAACTTTGGATGAAATCTCAATAATGAGCTTAGGCTTTCTTGTGAAATTTTATCAAAAGTTTTTGAGATGTTGAGATAACATGTCACAGGTTCTACCAGTCATTATCTCAACTGAGCAAAATAAATTTTGACCAAGCACCATCTTCCTCTTCTCATTCATGATGATTCCCATCTACATTGTTATTGGTGCCTACACTTATCAAATTTTTATTTTGACAGTAAGGAAGCAAAATTAGGTACTTTAGAGCTTTCTTGTCAATTATACATGTTCTGAATATTGGCCCATTAGCCCACTTTGAATATTCTCATACCTCTGTCCCCAGGTACAAGTGACAGTTGTACATGGTAATTTAGATTTGAGACACCAATGAACATCTCCTTTTGGACTCTGGAATAATTACCATCTATGTTTAGAAATTTCTTACGAAGAGAAATAACACTTTCAGAACAGCCCAGATTTCTGAGGCTTTTTGTTCAGAGTTCTGGAGCATTGGCATCAATTATATGGACAGAGCTAAAATCAACCATGTGCTACCTGAACAGACCTTAGACCTTCATCTTGGAGGTGGTTAACTGAAACACCAGGACACTTTTTTTTTTTTTGGGGGGGCGGGGGGGAAGCGCGATTGGAGTAAACAGTAAACTTGGCTGGGTAGGGCAGCTTGGAAAGGATGATTTCAGATGCAAAGTATGCAGCTAGAATATAATAACTGTTGGACGGTCATTAGCTAGGCATTAGGAACACAAACTAGAAAAGATGAAAGACCAACAAATGAAGTGCAAATTTTAAATAGTGTTTATGTTAATACAAAGGATACAAAATCAATAAAATGGAGGAACTGATGTCATTGATTAAAATAGAAAATCAACCTCACAGCAGGAGTATCCAAGATATGGTTACAGCAAAGGCAGGAATGGTACTTATGTTCTGAGTTTAAAATTACAGGACACAGGGAAGGATAAAGGGAGGTTATGTAGTTGTACTAATTAGAGATATAATTGCACCAGAGGGTGTGGATTTAAGACAAGAGATTTAAACAGAATCCCCTTAAATAGTACTGAGGAACAGCAAGGTGTCAGTCACATTCAAGTGCACGTTATAGATAAACAGTGGAAAGGAAATGAAGGCATGTACTAACTATAATTAAAAGGGGTTTTAATTACCTCAAAAGAATCTTAGAAACATTTGCAACGAAGGAGAATTTTTCTGGTGCCATGATTCTAACAGATTTCTGAAATCATTTTGTTGCTATCCCAACAAGGAACAAAAGTACCACCTGACATAATTCTAGGTAGTAAGTGGAACAAGTAGGTGACCTAAATATAAATGAATTTCGATGCAAGTACAGATTGACTGAGCCAAAAGAAGTTATTGCAAGACGAAAATGGATTTTACCCAAAATTAGTGTTCAGAAAAAAAAATAGTAGTGAGAGTGTCATAGAACAAAATGTTCAGGGATAAGTGTGAAAATGAAACGCATTCAAACAGGAAAAGACTGAAGTTTCAAGAATTGGAAGATTTGCTCAAACATGATCCACGAAATGTAGGACAAATATATAAAAGCTGAAAAACAGACATGATATGAAGTCGACAAAAAAACTCAAAAGCTTTTCAAAGGAACAGGATTGTCAAAACAATGATTGCATGAATAAGAATGGAGAGAGATAAACTTGCAGTGTGCATTCTAAAGGAAAGACATCATGCCAAGTAGATACTGTCTAAATTTTTACACAAAGGCAAGAATTGAGGTTGCATAATTACCACAGGTAGTTGCGAAGCTGCTCGAAGATTTTTAAAGAGAAAATGGACAAGTAAAATCCACACGTCTATCACAGACACAATTACTTTATATTCAATGAATGGTAGAAAAGGCTTGGACTCTGACTACAATTTTCCAAAACATCTACTATAAGAAAATGGTGCCAGAAGTAGTTATACACCAGTTAGTTACTTTCCCATCAGTAAATAATAGTCCATAATCTTGATTTATATCCAAAGAACAGAAGAACAGGAGGATATATTTTGTACAGTAGTTGATAATAATGCACAAGATTGCAAACTGTTTCAGACAATAAGGATACAGAACCATACCGAACACAAAGGAAGATGGTTCTGGTCTTTGGAGGGCAGTCATCTCAGCTCCAGGATATCCCTGAAGGGGCTCTTCGAGGTAGTGTCCAAGGCCCAACCATGTTTAGCTGCTTCAATGACCTTCCCTCCATCATAAGGTCAGGAGTGGAGATTGTACAATATTCAGCACCATTTGCTACTTCTCAGATACTACACAGCAGTCCATACGCAAATGTAGCAAGACCTGGACAATATCTGGTTTGACAAGTGGCAAGTAATAAAGATGCCAGGCAATGACCATCTCCAACAAGAGAATCTAAAAATGACCGCTTGACATTTAATGCATTACCACTAAATCTCCCACTATCAACATTATGGGAATTAGCACTCACCAGAAATTGAACAAGCCATATGAATACTGTGGCTACAAAAGCAGGTCAGAGACTAGGAATTCTGCAGTGAGAAGCCCACCTCCACGAGAAGCCTGTCCACCATTTACAAGTTCAAGTGAGGAAAGCAAATGTAATACTTGCCCACTTGCCCGGATAAGTACAGCTTCAACAACAGTCAAGAATCTTCACACCATCCAAGGCAAAGCAACCTGCTTTACTGGCTTAAAACCCATGAAAAACATCCAATCTCTCCACCACTCAGTGCGTATCATCTAAAATAATGCACAGCAGAAATTCACCAAGGCTACTTAAAACACCTTGAAAACCCATGGAGGAGGACAGGGCAGCAGATAAATGGGCACACCACAACCCGCAAGTTCCCCTCCAAGCTGCACACCATCCTGACTTGGAAATATATTGCCATTCCTTCAGTGCTATTAGGTCAAAATCCTGGAACTCCTTCCTAAACAGCACTGTGGGTCTACCACAGCAAATGGGCTGCAGTCAAGGCAGCAACTCACCAACACCTTCTTAAAGACAACTTGGTATGGGCAATAAACATTGGGCTCCAAAGCAAAGTGGCACAATGGATCCAAAATTGATTGAGACACTGAAAACAAAGAAAGATTCCTGTATTATCACCCTATGACTGGAAGTCTGTTTCCAATGGAGTTCTAATAGGGCTGAGTGCTGGGCCCTTGCTGCTTGTGGTGTGCAATGATTTGAACTGTAACGTGTTATGGACCAAGCCAGACCCCCTCAAAATATTTTAAGGTAGACTGGACCCTAACTACTACTTATTTTGAAAGTAGATGTGAAGTGGGTGTTCCAGGTGTGATGCAACTGGTCAAACCAACCACTTGGCTTTAAGCAAGACGCAATTTATTTAAACACAAGTGTGGAACTTAGAATAACTTAACTATTGGAAAACATAACCAAACACTTTATACAGTAACTTAACGAATTACCTGTTCCAATATAGTAATATCCCATAAACACACCCCTTGGCAAAAAGGTAAATTAAAACAGATTGTTACAGGCAGAGGGAACCACATCCAGAGAGATTTCAGAGAAAGTCAGTTAGGAATCATTTCCTGAAGCTTGCAACCCTCAGGTACTCAAAATATCTTGCCACTGCTACAGCTAAAAAAACTAGAAAAAACACGAACTGGGAGAACTGGCCACTCCCCTTCCATTGTTAAACTGTTAGCCCTTACATTCTTCACCACCTCTGCCTTTACAACCTCTCTTCAGAAAAGACACCAAGGACTAAATAACCTTTTAAAGTACAGGCATGGGGGAAGAGTAGACAAAGTATATCACATGAAAACAAGTTCAGGGAAAACAGAAACAGAAACAAAAACAAAAACAAAAACAAAAACAAAAACAAATTTGGAGTAACTCAGCAGGTCTGGCAGCATCCGTGGTGAGAAAGCACAGTCAACATTTCAAGTCCAGCAACACTTTTCCAGAACCTCTGAAGGAGGAAGGGTCACTGGTCCCAAAACACTGACTGTTTTTCTCTCCTACTGATGCTACCAGACCAGAGTTTCTCCAGCAAATTGTTTTTGTTTCAGATTTCAAGCATTCATAGTTCCTTGTTTTTATACAGAGAGAACAATTATGGAAGGAGTTTACACACAGGTGGAAAGGTAGAGCAAGGGCACAAGTTGTTAATGTAGGGATAACTGTTTCTAACAAAGAACAGGAAAAAGACTGGACCAGAAACAATGCAATTACAAATTACAACTTTAAATGTAAACTTTCCACTTAGTACTTCAATATTTTATATAAATTCTATATTATATCTTTAGGAAATGCTCAAATTAAGTGTGGTTTTCTTCCTCTCACTTATGTCAATTTCAAGTGCCCTGGGACAATGCTGGATGTTGCATTTTGTTGTAGGTAGACGTATCCTTTATTCACTTTCATCCTTTCTTCAAAAGAAAAATTGAAAGGCATCTCTAATGAAGCAAAATTGAGGATTCAGAACGCTTGCAACTTACCCATTAATTATTTCTTTGGACTCGCCACGAATGAAGAACTCACGTTCAGGGGTGACAATGCAGAGTGCATTCTTCTGACCAGTCTTGGGCTCTGCATCAACAACATCTGTGCACTGATTCATGTTAACTGTCCCTTGTGGCAGGGTACTTGGCTGAAAGGAAGACAAATAAAAAACATGGTAAACAGCACTGAACACTATCTAAATAAGAGTAATGCCTATAACAGTAATGTTTCCTGACAAAGCGATTAGATCTTGCTTAATATTTGGGGGAAAAGCCAGCACACAATTATTATAAAATGAGTCTTTGGAAAAGAATATAATCAGGTAGATAAAATAGTTACATTATAACAACATACAGGTTCTTATGCATCATATTTACAAAATGAACAATTTCATAAAACAGCAAATGTTGTAGGATAGAGACTTTGGGGTTCAGATGCAGAATTCTTTGAAATTTGTGTCACGTAAGGGTAGGCAGTGGCCGAGTGGTGTTATTGGCTATTAATCCAGACACTCAGATAATGTCTTGGGGGCCCTGGTTCGAATCCCACCACAGCGGATGGTGGAATTTGAATTCAATAGTATAAAAAAAGTCTGGAATTAAGAATCTACTAATGACCATGAAATCGTTGCCGATTGTCAGAAAAACTCATCTGGTTCACTAATGTCCTCAGGGAAGGAAATCTGCCACCCTCAACTGATCTGTGGTTGACTCTTAATTGCCCTCCGAAACCGCCTAGCAAGCCACTCAGTTGTGCCAATCACTACGTCTCGAAGAAATGAAACCAGACCGATCAACTGGCACTGACCTAGGCACTGGAAAAGACAACGACAGAAACAGCCCTGTTGGCCCTGCAAAGGCATCCTCACTAACATCTGGGGGTTAATGCCAAAAACAGACTAGTTAAGCAACAGCCTGACATAGTCATACTCACACTCTCAGAATCATACCTTACAGACAGGACAGACCCAGCAGAGGTGGCGGCAGTGGTATACTGTATGGCGGGTGTTGCTCCAGGAGTTCTCAACATGGGGTCCGGACCCCCATGAAGTCTCATGGCTTCAGGTTAAACATAGGCAAGGAGACCTCCTGCTAGTCACCACATACTGTCCTCTCTCAGCTGCTGAATCAGTACTCTTCAACATTGAGCAATACTTAGAGGAAGCACTGAGGATGGCAAGGGCACAAAATGTATTCAGGGTGGGGGATTTCAATGTCCACCACCAAGAGTGGCTCGGCAGCAATACTACTGTTAGAGCTGGTCGGGTCCTAAAAAGGTCACAGTTGCTAGACTGTCTGCAGCAGGGTGGTGAGGGAACCAACAAGAAGGGAAAACATACTTGACTTCAGCCTTACCAATCTGCCAGCTGCGGTTGCATCTGTCCATGACAGTATCGGTAAGAGTGACCATCGCACACTCCTTGTGGAGTCAAAAGTCCCAGTTTCACATTGAGAATAACCTGTGTTACGTGGCATTATCATCGTGCTAAATGGGACAGACTTCGCACAGATCTAGCAACTCAAGACTGGGCATCCATGAGGCACTGTGGACCATCAACAGCAGCAGAATTGTACTCCCGCACAATCTGTAATCTCATGGCCCTGCATATCCCCCCACTCAACAGTTACCTTCAAACCAGGGGATCAACGCTGGTTCAATGGAGAGTGCAGGAGGACATGGCAGGAACAGCACCAGGCATACCTGCAGATGAGGTATCAACCTGGTGAAGCCAAAAGGACTACTTGCACGCCAACCAGCGAAAGCAGCAAGTGATATACAGAGCTAAGCGAACGCACAACCAACAGATCAGATCTAAGCTCTGTAGGGCATCCAGGAGCAAAGTCTCTGGTGATTGGAGTCATACCTGACACATAGGATATGGTCGTGATTGTTGGAGGTCAATCATCTAGTAGAACTAATAACAGTTCTGGTGGAGTCAGAATCCCTATAGCGCAGAAAGAGGCCTTTTGGCCCATCAAGTCTGCACTAACCCTCTGAAGCATTTCCTACCAGACCCACCCCTCAACCTTATCCCAATAACCCCACATTTACCACAGCTAATCCACACAACCTGGACACTACAGGCAATTTAGCACAGCCAATCCACTCAACCTACACATTTTTGAACTAGGGAAGGAAATTGGAGCACCCAGCAGAAACCCACGCAGAAACGGGTAGAACGTTCAAACTCCACAGACAGACAGTCACAAGGCTGGGACTGAACCAGCCCACTCCTGGTTGCTGTGAGGCAGCAGTGCTAACCGCTGTGTCACCACGTAGCCCAGACTTAATGTTGACTGTGGTTTCTTCCCACAGATGCTACCAGACCAGAGCTTTCTGCAGTAACTTTTGTTCTTGTTTCAGATCTCCAGAATCCAGTGTTCTTTGTTTTATTTTACTACAATGCTGCCTGGACTGCAGTGTATTATCTATAATGAGAGATTAGATGAACTTGGATTATTTGTGCCAGAGTGGAGACTGAGGGATCAAATGAAGTATATAATATTATGTAGTGTGGATAGGGTGGACAGCCAATCTTTTTCACACTGGAAGTGTTAAATACTAGGGTCATAAGTTTAACGTGAGGGTGTTAAATTTAAAAGGAGATTTGCAAGGCAAGTTTATTTAAAAGAAAGGGTAGTAGCTCCCTGGAACTTGCTGCCAGGGGAGATGGTAAGGCATATAATGATATCAACATTTAAAGAGGCATTAACGCAGACATGAACAGGCAGAGTATAGAGGGACACTGACCTTGTGCAAGCAGATGGGACTAGTTTAGAATGGTCAGTGCAGACATGGTGGGCCTAAGGGTTTGCTCCTATGCTGTATTGCTTGCATTCTATGGCCACCTAATTGTTGCTGGAGCACCTCACTGGGTACACACTTGGTCAAAACCTACTAAGGTTTTGACCCCTGGTTTTTAAAATCTGTCCAACAAATACAGAACAGTCCTGAGCAATGTCAATTGATGCTGAGCTACCATGCCAGAAAAATGTAAATTGTAGGCAGTAACGATCAAATTTTCCAGTCAGGCCACATCTCAGATCCTGCATGCAGTTTTTGTTGTCAAGAAACATGGGAAACATCCAAGCATTAGAGTCAGTATAGAGAACAAGCATAAGGCTTCGTTCTTTCTCCTATTTTTAATCAACATTCTACTATAGTTGTGTCATTTACGGTAACTACACAGAGTTAATAGTATTTTATTTAGCCAGAAAACTGATCATGCTCTGAGCTGCCACTTCTGATGCCAAGTGACTAGATACATGAGTATATTCATTGTATACATTTATAATGGCAGAAAAAAGCAAACTACGGATGGTATACATTGAGATTTTAAGTAAGTGAAATCTTGGCATAGGCATAGACACTGCAGCTGACAAGCAAAGGAAACAATGCAAAGGGAAATCAAGAGATAGTAGGAACTGCAGATGCTAGAGAATCTGAGATAACAAGGTGCAGAGCTGGATGAACACAGCAGGGCAAGCAGCATCATAGGAGCAGAAAGGCTGACATTTCAGGCCTAGACCCTTCATCAGAAGGCCCCTCCCCCTACCGCATCCCAAAACCAGCCCAGCTCGTCCTTCCTCCCACCTATCCCCTCCTCCCACCTCAAGCCGCACCCCCATCTCCTACCTACTAACCTCATCCTGCCCCCTTGACCTGTCCTTCCTCCCTGGACTGACCTAAACCCTCCCTAACTCCCCACCGACACTCACCTTTACTGGCTCCATCCCTGCCTCTTCGACCTGTCTGTTTCCTCTCCACCTATCCTCTCCCCCTCTCTCCCTATTTATTTCGGAACCCCCTTCCCCTCCCCCATTTCTGATGAAGGGTCTAGGCCCGAAACGTCAGCCTTTCTGCTCCTATGCTGCTGCTTGGCCTGCTGTGTTCATCCAGCTCTGCACCTTGTTGTCTCGGATTCTCCAGCATCTGCAGTTCCTACTATCTCTGTTAAATATGCTAATTTTATTTGTAGTAACGAAACAATTTTAGGAAGTTCAGATACAATTTTCAACATTACATCAGTGCAGATTGCTAAAATAACCTTGGTTAACAAATCAGTGACCAGGATTTGTCAGTCCCAACAAAGGGATTAAAAAAATGCACATTTCCTTTTCAAAGTAAATTGAATTCCATGCAATGGAAATTATATTAAAAAAGTCTTCTTTACATACATATCCTGTACATGTTACATTAATTTCCATCACGCATTTTCATTTTTGTATTAGATGGCCTGCCTGGGAGGTCAGGCATATAATGTTGGAAATCCCCCAGGATCGTCTCCAGCCTGTGTGACATCGTTAGCCACAGCTAGCAGTTTCCAGCCCGGGGGTGGGGCGGGTGGCGGCGGGGTTGTGGTGTGGAGAGAGAGGAGGAGAAGAGTACTAAGGAATCAGCACTAGTTTTAATACTGACCACCCTTTTCCAGGATTTGTCACCAAAGGCAATACAGGTTATACAGCCCTAATCCACAGGACTATGGATTTCATCTTGACTGGACTACAGCAGGTCCCATATTGGGCCAATACAATCATAAATCAAATGCAAGTACTTTAGGACTATGGTCAGTGACTGGAGTTCTGCTGCAACCTTTCCAACCAAAAGCATCAAGCTTTGAACACTTCCTTCCACAGCTGCGTAAAGACCTCATCTTGACACACATCAATAACATGCCTAATTAGATGAATTATTTTCAATATAAAAATCAGAACAGGATTTAGGATATCCAAACTGGACAAACTGTAATAAACAGTATGAATAAATATCAATGCAGAGCCACAAGGTGCTACTTCAGGGAATACCTTAAGCACTGCAAACACAGAATTGCCAGACAGAAAGCAGCAAGACTAAGAAGGTATAACGTGCAACTGATTGACAACTGCCCCACTAATATTTTTAAACACCTCAACCGCACTGCCATCAACTTTGAATCTTGAGGTGTAAACTGCATCCGTCTTCCACCCGAGTTAATGGCAAACATTCTGCCGGCCTTTTCACTGTTTAATATTTCATTAAACCTGGTTTTCTGGTGAGCTGGTCATAGCTTACCTAACCCTGTTTATGTGTGCTATCACAAGAACCATTGTTATTGGATGTTTAGCAATACAGGGTCAGACAAAATTTTTTAAAGGCCTGAAACTGCTG